TGGATTGCAACTAGCAGAATTTCTTTCCCCCATCATATTTCAGTCAGCTCCTTATCTTGATTTTTCAAGTGGAAAAAATGCAAATTTTAAGCCTTAGCTTAAGCCGATGAAATGTCAAAATCAGTAAAAATTAAAACACCAAGGTGAAGATGCAAAGCAATGAGCGAGAATTAAGAAATGTCTGTGTTTGAAACAAATATATGCAGAAAGCCATCACTCCCAAGTATGTCTCCTGGTGGACTGGTGGACTAGTTTTGTTTCTATGTCTTTGTCAATGCGTTGTTTACCAGACACATAACCACTGATAGATGAAGTAAAATTTATCTTTCTTTCTTTTTTTTTGCATTTTATTATATATATATTTTTAAACATTTTATTAGGGGCTCAAAATTTATCTTTCACTGATTTTAGTTGTGAAATAGAGGGCTATGTTGGGTTTTGATGCCATCGACACGATTCTGAATTATGAATAACAGAAAAATTACTTATGACTCCATTCATTCTCACAAAGCCTTTATTTAAGAGACAAGTAGGATTAGAACCATGCGTATAAACATGAAAATCCATTGAACTTAGGGTTCACAGTAGAGATGATTTGAGTGTTTGATGCTACTTCTCTCCAAGATACTCCTTTTCTTGACATTTTTTGCTGTGATGTACGTGAAGACTCACAAAGCAGGCACCCGTTTTTCATATTCAATAATGCTTATGTTTTACCTCATCCAGGTCAGTCCGCACGACGGGTCCCTGCTTAGCCCACTTCTTCCCTGAAGCCCTGTTGTCATTTCTTCTTTCCTAACCCTAGTGAATGCTGCCCTTTTGATCTTAAATGATTGGTATTTTCAGCATGGAAATGAGGCTGTAGTTGTGTGTGTGTGTGTGTGTGTGTGTGTGTGTGTGTGTGTGTGTGTGTAGGGGGGCACTACCATTCTTTAGCCAACCAATAAGGCTGGTTGTGATTTTGAGCTCTGCTACACATTTGTATACCATTCCTTCCAGGACACCATCTGACGCTTCTGGTCGCAGGGTTGTGGAGGTGGATGTTGGCATGGGCCACTAAGCCATTGAACTCTTGTTTTTTCACATGTGTCTTTCAATTGCCACTATTCTTTGCTCCAGACAGGGAGGAAGCAATATTTGTGCCTTAGATAGCTGATTAAGGCCTTTGAAGATCCCCGTTGCCACCCACCAAAGTAGAATGAAGAATTTTGTGAACTGTGTTAGGCCCATTGACGTTGGTGTCTCCTGGACCATTGGTGTCTCATTCCCTCAAAGTGTTTGATTGGAGACATTTTCTTTCTTTTTTTAAATCATTTTATTGGGAGCTCGTAGAACTCTTATCACAATCCATACACACATCAATTGTGTCTAGCACATTTGTACATTTGTTGCCCTCATCATTCTCAAAACATTTGCTTTCTACTTAAACCCTTGGGATCAGCTCCTCATTTTTTGCCCCTCCCTCCTCGTTTCCTGCTCCCTCATGAACCCTTGATAATTTATGAATTATTGTTATTTTGTCATATCTCCACCTGTCCGACGAGCAGAGACATTTTCATAACTATGTCCCTGCATACTTTGCCACAGCCATGGATATGTTTGCAGCGAGCTGACAGTTTACCCTTCTGTTTCCTCTCCGACTGCTTTTGTTCAGCTCCTTCTCTGAGTTGATATTCAACACACTCCTCTGTCATTTCCTCTGTGCTCATGTTTCAGGATTGTCAGCTGTATCTGTTTCATTAGGTTTCTCAGGTCTTTGATGTAGAGGGTCCACGTAGGTGCCAGCCTAGTTCTCCTCTCATAGTGAGCAGGCTTGGATTTTGTATCTTGATTTTGATGTTGAATTGTTTGTGTTGTCTGATTTAGTGTTCTCTGCTTGATGACTCTAAACTCTAATAACCATTGTAAGGGCAACACGGAACCCACAGACAAAATTTGTGATTAAAGGGTTTCTTATTTATTTTTTTTTGAAGGGATTCTTAAAAGGGTGTGCTGTCTGTGAGAAATGCTCAGGGTCGTTATGTATCAGGCATGTCACATTGTTCTTTCAGGCCTGCTCAGAAATGCCCAAAGGGGCACAGCCCTCTGCTGGAAGCCTTACCAGAAGGCATTCGGCTCAAGCTCCATGGGTTTGCCAGCGGGATCCCTGAATGAGTGACTTGTCCAGTCACCCCTCTCTGCAAGCCCTCAGCTTCCAGCACAAAAACACTCATATTTATTTATTATGTATTTATTCGGGGAGGGGCGCACCAGCCAGCCCTCAGCTTTACTTGCTCTGTGGGTTAGGAAATCCACTGTTTTCTGTGCTGTCTCCTGGTTCTGCTGCTGCTCCTCGATCCAGGAGGTTTGCTGCACGGAGGTAATGAGATCCTTCCCGCTGCTTCTCAGAAGGCTCATTTTATACACAGCAGGATGCAATGCCAGGGAATCTTATTCACAATTACTCACAGGTGAATCCTATTAATGTCTTTCTTACGAGATCTATGCAGGAAAAGATTTGACAGGAGGGCAAGCATCCCTTTGGCTGGAAGAGCCACACTAAACAATTCACTGATTGTCTGCGTTCACTTTTACATTGTATTGTTTCAACTTGTTTTATGCTTTATAATTTGGTTTTTAACATGTGAGGAAATCCATTTTGTTTCCTAACAATTAGAATCCGATAGGGTCACTATGAGTCAGAACGGAGTCCATGACAGTGGACATTGCTTTGAGAGGCACAAAGTCTAGACTCCCATAAAATGCCAGCATTGGGTATTTGTTCATTAGAAATATCACTTTAAAAATCACATTACCATGGATCCTTAGATTGAAAAGAAAGTAGCTTATCTCTTGAATTATGGTTATGTGGGGAGGGGAGCAATCAGTTTTGGATAAGTGCTTGCTCTTCTTTGTCCCGTGGAGGCATCTGACTGGAACATGTCAGCGTCCATCAGAAATCAAGTCCCTGACTCTAAAAGTCACTTCCTCTTTATATTGGGCTCAAGTCTGAAAATCTAAGCAATTTGATAGAGCACAAGGAAAAATGATTAGAAGTCTATTCACATTTTAATCTGTGTACAATAAGCTGCTTGTGTGAATGGTATTGACCATTCTTCAAGGATTCAAATTCTGAAAATCCGTCACATTACATTGTAACTCTCTAAAATTATAAGCATTCTTTAAGTGTGATTCGACCATCCCAGCTTGAACAACTGAATGGATACTAGAGAAGTATTTCAGTTATAACTAACGAGAAGTGGGCTGTAGCACTCCACAGCCATTTCCTGCGACTGGACGAACTTGGGCCTCATGCTTTTTGTTGCCTGGGGAAGATCTCTAGTCGACCTGATTTGGAGATGATCAGGGTCAAGGTGGTGGTGAAAGTCTTGATGTTCAGAAGATCGGCTGTCTATTGTGGAACGTTTCTTAATGATAGCACACATTGCGGAGCCTTCTCCCCAGGACAGACACCTGTCAGGCTTTCCTTTTTCCTGTAAGCGAAATGGTATGTGTATCATAAATGCATTGCATTTCAAAATAGTCCTCATATATTTGTATTTGATGACTGCAATTATGAAACCACAGCATCTATATGTGACTAACTAATTGAACAATAATACTTGACTGCTGTGCATCATCTGTATTATCTATGAGTCAGTATTTCTGTATTGTTTAGCTGCACTGTTTCTCACAGATGATGAAGGTCGAAACTCTTGGCTTTTGCTCTCTTGGGCCTGAATACCTTTTGATTTTGAGTCATTTGGATTGCTTCTGTTTGGAAATGAAAACAGTGCCACTAGTGAACATTAAACTATGACCCAAATGGAAATTATCTAATTTAAAATATAAAAACAAGTTAAGAATTTTATTTGTTTGATTATCTTTGTCACTGTTTCTTACCCTGTGGTATAAGACATATGGTGTTAAGGCAGAAAGTATAGCTATAAAATCAGAGCTACCATTATCAAAGAAAAATATCCAAGCACGAAGTTGTTTCTTGACATACCCTCTATCTAAGTATGGACGCGGTATTTCCATTTCTAGCCCTTCCCTAAAGAGTTCCACACACTTTGATTTAAACACCACACCAAAACAGTCATTTTGCCATCCTCAAAAAATTCACACTGTGTTCCTTTGAAATGTTCTTGGAGTTTTGAGAACAACAGCAAAATTCCCATGGGGTGAGAACGGGGATGCAGGGTGAATGAGGTAAGGCGTACCATTGCAATTCCCCGAGGACAAACCCGGCTGCCCTCAAGGAATGAGCAGGTGCATTACCACTGGGAAAACTTTCCCATGGTTTTAACTTTCCCGGCCTTTTCTCACCAATATAGCTCTCAATGATCTTTTCTTCACAGTTCTTCCTAACTAACAATCTCACATGCTCATGCTGTTCCCTAGAGAAAATCTATCATGATTATCAGTTTGGAATCCCCCACCTCCACCCCAAAAGCAGCCTCCATAACCTTGTGAGCTGGCCTGTCTGCCTCTAATATACTTGCCTCCTGTCTCCACAGTTCCCATTGTAAACCACTGTGTGGATTGGTTTATTCATTTTTTATTTTAATGGCACCCTGAGGCATCTAGGTTCAAAACAAAACCAAACTAAGCATATTTAGAATAAATCTGTGCATATAGGAACTGAAACTCTAGTAGCAATACTTTTTGTCTTATCATTATTTAAATAGACCCTATCCCACCAAAGAAAACTATAGAAATCTGTTCAGTCTTTCCACTACATTGGTTTTTTTTCTGTTTTGCATATGATCTGGTTTGGGTTTATTTCAATACTGGAACAAGTACAACATGAAAATATCAACAACTGGTTCCAGGAATCAGGTGGGTGGGGGGCGGGGTGGTGCAGAGGCACCTTGATCTTGGATCTTGTCATGCAACTGTGGTGGCAATCCTGGGGCTGTTCTGATTAAAGAACTGCTTCTTTGCCATCTTTAAAAATAACCCGGCCAAGGGAACTTTGGGAATAATAAAATGTACTGTGCAATTTTGTTCTCTGTTAGAACGCAGAAGACGAAGATATTGTTCTCACCCCTGATGGCACCAGGGAATTTCTGACATTTGAGGTTCCTCTCAACGACTCAGGATCAGCTGGGCTTGGTGTCAGTGTCAAAGGGAACCGGTCCAAGGAGAACCACGCAGACCTGGGGATCTTCGTCAAGTCCATTATTAACGGAGGAGCGGCATCTAAAGTAAGCGCACAGCGGCTTTGTCACGTGTGTGTCCACGGACAGAATGTTGTCCGTGGCAGCTCTGTTATTCCTTTGGAAACATAGGCGTTGAGCCCATGTTTTCTGCTTCCTTTGCCGTATTCCATAATCAGGGGAACATTAGGGAGATGGCAGTTGGGGATGGATTCCCTAACGTCTCCTCTTTCACTTGTCGAAACTTCACAGAACTCCGCATTCTAGTGATGAAAAGGAGATCACCTGGGCACAGGCTGTGCCCAAGCCCTGGCACAAAGTGGGCACAGCGTCAGGGCTCCTCTATCCCCCTCTTCCTCTCCCGCACCGAGCGCTTCCTTTATCCTGTTTCACAGGCTGGAGAAAACGCCCTGGCTGTTTGCTGAGAGGGGGTTTTCTGCAGTGGTGTTGAGCTTTTCCAAGTCTTGGGTTGTAAATAACCTCTGGTGGGTTCTCTGAAAGGGAGAACGCAATCACTTTGTGTCCTGTGAATTAGTATGCTATTTTGGTAAACAGATTATGATAATGACTCGATTTACAAATGTATAAGTGATTGAAATCAGCACAGGCTACAATGGCTGCCTAGACAGTTATTATGCCAGTGTTCAATTGGGCAGAATCCATTAGGAGGAAAGGGCTTTTGTGTCTACTTATTTATTTATTTTAATTAAAGGGGAAGCCGCTTGTTTGGTAACAGGCTGTTTCCTAGCACTTTTTAAATTTATTTCTTCATTTTTTTTTAACCCGCTTCCCCAGGATGGAAGGCTTCGGGTGAATGATCAGCTGATAGCTGTAAATGGAGAATCCCTGTTGGGCAAGACGAACCAAGACGCCATGGAAACCCTCCGCCGGTCCATGTCTACAGAAGGGAACAAGCGCGGAATGATTCAGCTCATTGTAGCGCGGCGCATCAGCAAGTGCAGCGAGGTAAAGGGAAACAGGCATCCGATCCACAAAAGGCGCTCACCTCTGAAATGGTCATTACACGAGGATGGTCCGCAACACCGGGCAGAGAACGGCAGGTCCCGAGGCCTGTCTGCAAAGGACGATGACTTTTCCTTGCAAGCTGTGGTTGTGTTGTTGTATACGTGGGTTGGGGTTTGCGTTCTTCTTCATTCAAGGTGTTTCTCAGCGGAGGCTAACATTTTCTGTGGCCAACTCACCGGATAAGATTTCTATCGCGCAGTCACATGGAGCTGAGTTTTCTTCCACAATATAGGGCTACATCTTTCTTCTCCGCATCACAGTTTTTCTTCTAATCAGCCGGGGTGTTCATTGCCGTTGGTTTACCAGTCAGCATAGCCTCATGATGTCCCTTCCTGGGTCCCAGGAGATCTTTGGTAGCAGAGCTCTCGTCTTTTCTTCTCAGGTGCCCTTGGGTCAGCTCTCCTCATCTGCACCACCCCTGAGCCCCGAGAGTATACTTAGCAGGTGATGGATCCTTGGGAGAAATAATGACAATGACAACGGACTCATTTGCTTATCTAAATTTGGGTACCTCTTACAAACTTCACACTAGTGATGAAATTCCTACGACTAGCTTTCTTACAGTTAGTGTCCTCTTGCGGACAGAGTCAGAAGTATAGGGCTCCCCTGTTTCTACTCTAGCCCCAGTTTCCTCTCTGTCTGGTGGACAGGGGCCTTGAGTGCCTGCTTTTCAGTGACAGGTAGTAGAAGATGTGGCTGGTTCAAAGTTACGGTGTTGTTGTTTGTTGCCATCACGTTGTCTCTGAGTCATGACCACTCCATGGACAACAGAAACCAGGGCCTGTTTTGAGGCGTACAACATTCTTCATCAGTCACATCAGAAGGATCCAATTTGTGGATCCACATTAAGTGAGCTGAGTTATACCTGCTGCAGATTAAAGGAACGTAAATGCTTCTTTGGGCCTAAAGTGGATGCGCCCCAGTGAGGGCAAGAAGAAGCACATGACTGTGACTGCTACCCTAAGGTCTTAGTTTGGAAGTCACTGCACTTTATTCAAATCTCCACCCATTAAATGGCAATTTAAGACTACCATATATTTGCCGTTTTCATGGTTTCCGTGCTTTGTGTAACATGTGTTATTCCTGCAGATATTCTTTTGCCTTCATGAATGAACATGATGGGAAACGAAACAAACCAACCAGCCTCAAAACTCTGCTTGTCTTTGAAACGGTGTCATGGCTCAGAGTACCAGAGTAGCATCAGCTCCCTTGTTAGGCTGGGTTGACTAGAGAAACAAATCCAGAGATACTGATCTATGTCTAAGAGAACTTTATATTAAGAAGAAATTATACATGGAGAAAACATGCTAGCCTCGTCCAACTCAAGTCCATAAATTCAATAATAATCCACGTATTCATCCCTCTTAAGACTCAGGCAGCCACATGTAATGATGTAGCATGCAGAAGATCACAGACCAGTGGCTACCTAGTCATGCAGATCCAGTGTGCAGTTCATCCCAGGGCTCTGGCAGCCATCGGGGTCAGCCAGCCGGAAGAGGAAGGCACAGAGAGAAGGGGAGGTTCCCAGGACCCTGCTTGTGAGAAGGCCACACCCACAAGGAGGGACCATCAGGCTGTGACGTGATTGAAAGGTAGAATTCTACCCTCATGCTTTCATATACAAGGGGGTACCCCCTCCCCCCCAAAAAAAACATCTGAAAAACTAAAACAAAAAACAAAAAAACCCTCCGCTAGGCAGAAGTTTTGTAGTGCGCATTTTTTCTGCAAGGTGAGCATCAAGCAGCTTTGCGTTAGTGCACCCAGTGGTGTCACATGGGAAAGTTCTCTCTGGTTATGGTGAGTGTTTTCATGAAAGCAGTTTCACTCCATACTTCTTTTTTTTGATGGCCAATTTAAGAGAACAGCAGCGGCTGAGAAATTTTGTTTCCTATTTGGGGTAAAATGCCGCAGAAACTGTTGTGATGTTGAACACAGCTTACAAGGACAGCATTATGGGAAAAACTCAAGTGTACAAGTGATTTTTTCATTTCAAAAGAGGTGAAATGTCGATTGATGACAAACTTGTTCTGGACGTCTGTCATCTTCCCGAACAGATGGAAGTATCGACTCGTAGATCAATATGGTCAGAGAGCTGATCAAGCTTTCTATTTAAAGGTTCTGAAGAGATTGTGTAATGTGCAGCAAAAAGGCCTGGTTTGTGGCTGAGAGGGGACTCTTTTTGCCACCAGGACAATGGACCTGCTCACGCAGCCATCTCAGTGCACCAGTTTTTGGCAAAAGACCAGCATGCATGCCTCTCTTGCCCCACACACCTTACTACCTGATCTCGCCCCATGTGACTACTTTTTGTTTCTGTGATTGAAGAAGGACATGAAAGGACACCGATTTGATAATGTAGAAGAAGTGAAGAAACACGAGAGAGATGCTGTCAGCCATACAAACAGAAAAATGTTTTCAAGAATGTAGTCACAGATTTGACAGATGTATTGAGTGTAATGGAGAGTACTTTGAAGATGATAAGGGTTTTTTTAAAAGTTAAATACATAGCTTTAAAAAAATGTTTTTTGGGGTGCACCCCCTCATATCTTCAAGTTGACATGAAATTATGTAACTACCACAGCTACCAGAATATAGCAAACTGGTGATGGAAAAAGAATTGAGATTTGATTATTAGAATGAGTATTGTTTTGGGGTATCACTGAGTCAATTCCAACTCATCACCACCCCATGTGACAGGGCTGAACTGCTGCCTTGGCCTGGTCTTTCTCCTGAAAGGCCATTGGTTGCGTTCAAACCACCAACCTTGACCTTCACAGCTGAGCACTTAAGCGTTATGCCTCCACAGCTTCTAAGTTAGTGCTGAAACCTGAGAATCATCACATTTCATCAATCTATTAGACATTCACTATAGTTTTTTTCTTGAGGGCGGTGCATTGGGCTGCTAACCACATAGTCAGCAGTGAAAAACCGCCAGCTGTCCTGTGGGAGGAAAGTGAGGCTCTCTACTTCCATAGTTACAGTCTCGGGTCACTGGGAGCCAGAATCAGCTCAGTGGCAGTAAGATAGCAAGCTACTCACATGGGGGTGATCACTAATCTATCTGAGTGTATTTTCGAGTTCCGTGGATAGTCACTGACACAGTGACTCTCTTTTCCAGGGTTATTGCCCATCGACTAAGTTGGTTGGTTGGCTCATTTTTGCCATGGATACAGTGAATAATTAAGTCAATCTTAGCAGCCACAGGAAAAAATTGAATCCTAAAATGAAAAAGAAAAGGAGCATGAATTCTAATCTGAACATCTCAGAGGGCCAAGCAGTAGGCAGGCCTATAGGGAACAAAAACACTAGTACAGTCTGTGTGTCTTAGAACAATCCTTCATTGGCGATCATGGGTAGAATCTGCCCAAGGACAGAGTTCCGAAGAATTGGGAGAAGATGCGGTGTGGAGGCGACAAACCCAGGGAGGAGGTGGGATGAGTGGCTGCGCATTGAGAGAGAGGACTGCAGTGAATGAGGGGAAGCAAAATGTGTACAGATGGTTGAATGTGAAATGGATGATCTGCTCGGTAAACCATCCCAATTCGCAATGCAAGATAAACATTAAAAAGTTAATTCCTCAGAGTAGGCCACCAGAGTGGTTTCCTTACACTAGTTTTTGCTGGTTGCTTGATCATGACTGATCTTGTTAGGGTAACCATATGTTGACAAGACACCCTCCCACTGACCCACAGCCATGTAGTCAAATCCAATCTATGGCGGCCTTCCGCTCCTTAAAGTTTCTGGCACTGTAAGGCTTTATAGGAGCAGACGGCCTCTTTTTCCTCTTGCAGAGAAGTAGCTGGTCTTGATCCACCGAACTTGCTGTTAACAGCCCAATGCTTAGACCACAGCACCACTAGGGCTCCTCAGTGCTTTGTCTACCAGCCAACTGGACGGTTGCTCATTCAACAGGAGAGCGTTCATTTCACCGATGTTTACTGAGTCTCCATTCTGGGTTTGAAAATATGGTCGGTCCCCAGGACCATGGGCAATCAACCAATGGAGGTCCTGCGGCCATAGAACTCACTTTTCACTGGACAGTCTCTAAAAATAAATGCATCCCTTTAATCCCCATCTCAACATTTCCCTTACTGGAAAAGTTTGAACTTCATAGGGGAGCAAGAGATGTAAGACATGTCCAAAAGATCAGAATCCCACACCCGGATTTGCTTTAGCCTGGTTCACTTCATTCCTTATTGTTCCCTAAACGGTAGCAAAGCAAACCTCTGGCAGCCCGGAACCATTTGATGAAAGCACTGATTTTCCTTCCCTGTTGCACAGTGAAAGATGTGAAATTGGAATCCCACTGAACATCTCTGTCTCTCATTCATGCCTGCACATGAATTTATGTGAATGAAAATGATGTAAGTAAGGGAACAGCTGCAGCAGAAAGTAATAGATTTTAATATTCAATATTCCTTATGGTGTCATTTTCATACGTTGCTGGTTATTACTATTTCTTAGGACAGAGTAAGCTTATAAAGCAATTATATCAGAAAAATCTATCACGAGCGCTGTACTTTCTTTGTAATACTAGTGAGAAGCCTTTTCTACTGACAGGGTTTAACTAAAGAATTATATGAAGACAGAAGCTCAGTGCAGCGTCCCATAAGGCACAAGACATGATTTTGCTGCTGTTGTACTTATATATTACCAGGAAGAACTTCTCCCCACGTCCCCGGAGAGTATGTGTAAATTATGTTACAGTAAATATTGATAAAAGCAGAAGGCATCATGTTGTCATGAAGGAACCTCAAGCCAAAGTTATGTGCTTCCAACCTCTCCTTCTGGGTCTATTAGTCAGGTGTGTGTTCTAGTCTTTGACACGCTCACAAAACCATATTCCCGGGGACCATCTCTGACTCAAGATCGAGAAGGTGGGCGTTTGCAAAAAAGAGCAGAAATAAACTTTTATTATACTTTATTGCTTCCTGCCTTCC